AATACCATTAGAACAAATCATTCTATTCATTAAGAGAATGTAACTATATATCTATCCCAACCACTTTGAATACACAGATACAAAACAGACATTCATCTGTATACCCTTTTTATGTTAAGTTCCATTATTTGAATATTATAGGTATGTAAACTCAGCAAAATATTCTAAAAGAGTCCAGTAGCCCATAATAGTATTGGGTCTTCCGCTTGACTGGCGAGTCAGAAGTTGTTGACCTGAGTCCCCTACAGCTCAACATAACAGCATGGCTTAGCTCAGTTCTTTAAGTGGCTGCTTCAACAAAGCAGTCAGGCTCACGTTGCTGTGGTTCAATCCCCACAACTCAAGCCAGCCAAACCTGCCCTGAATGCATTCAGCACAAAAAAATAAAAAAATAAAAATCCTTCCACATAAATAAACTCAAAGATGTTAAATAATATCTATTCTGATGGGATAGAGAATTTTGAAGTCTACTTTCCCCAAGTAGAAGAATCTAGAAATAGTTTTCTCCTGATGATGGGAAGGTCTCTCCCAAAGGTTGGAAGTTCAGAGCACTTCTGCTACTGTTAAAGTTAGAGCAGGAGTGCAGAACCTGCTTCCTGTGACTTCCGGGCTAGCGTTCTGTGGGGTAATCAGTGTCGCTGCGTTTTCTCATGCTGAAGTCACTTACTCTTTCACCCTTCTAACTCCCCGTCTCTGTCCTTGTGCAGCATCGTGATGCACCCCTGCAGAAACACCCTGATCTCCTGTGGGGAGGATCGCGTCTGGAAAGCAGTGAGCCTCCCAAAGGGCAACGTGCTGCTCACGGGGCGCGGCCACACCGATTGGCTTTCCGACTGCTGCTTCCACCCCAGGTCAGTGCACAGAATCCCCAGAAAGAGGCCTTCAGGGCGCGCACTTGTTTATTCTTTCCTCTGGTGTCTTCCATGACTGCTCCTCTCTTAGCCGCAGCGCACCCTCACTGAATTTAGAAACGTGTAGATAAATGTGCCTTTGAGTTTCATTATATTGACTTTAGATTGATTGCTTTCAATGTTTGGTCTATGTAAAACTTAGTCCACATGCTGGCACATTTAACAAGAGTAATAAGCTTCTCAGGACAAGCGTTATTAATGCTGCTTACTCTCACACGCCCTGAGAAGGCACATGAATTTCTAGGCAACAATGCATGCCAGTGTTTACTTTGCTGCTGCTAATGTTGCAGGTTTTCCTTCCAGAATTAAGTCATACACTGAAAGGATCACAAGGCAGTGATTGATTTCTTTAAAAATTCAATGACACTCAAGATATTAAAAAAAAATAAAAAGAATCAGTTCTGGAAACATTGAAGTTTGTGATTTTTGAAGTTGACTGAGATTTTACACCTCAAAGACTAAAGGCAGAGAAGAAATACACTGTTAAGCACACTGCATCTGTGGACACAAAGTGCTGACAGCTGCTTGTGGTCGAGTCCAGCCACCAGTCCTGACCATGGTCCGCTGTTCTCTTTCTGCTGTTACCATTCTCAGATCTGTCTTTTCCTAACACTGCTCAGCAAGGTCACTTTTGGAGACCTTGGTGCAATTTCTGAATTTTTCATTCCATTTGGGAATTTTGTTTTTAGGAAGCCTTCCTACTGAATCGTTTTTGTGTTCACATTAAATTCCTTTTGCTTTACCTAGCTTTCTCCTTGGTATGAATAGCAGTGAAAGTAGATTTTAAAAAGGAAACTTCTCTAGAAATGTGTAGGTTAATGACAAAACTGAACTAAGTCTGTTAATTGCAATTTTTGAAAATCCTCCCAAAGTTTAATTCAGCCTTAATACTAGACATTTGAACTCAATTGATGAACAGATAGTACTCAGAGCCAGGGCACCTGCTCACTTCTGAGAAACACGAGGCTCATCCTGCAGACAGCAACAACACAATTAGAAGGGCAGCCCGTCTCTTATGTAGCTACTGGGCATGGCAATCAGATTTTGATAATGCTTTGTTACCATGACAGCAAGTGACTCAGAGATTTTCTCATTAGTGCTTGACCGGCAGTGTTCCTTCTAATAGATCTTCCTGTTTCCCCACTCAATTACTGAAATTAGAGTGAGGTGAGATATGCCATGATTCACTCATCATATGAGTTTACATTCAGTGTTTGCTTATAGCAGAATCACAGTAGAGTGCTTCTGTACTGTTGAGGTGTTTTCAATACCTAAGAGAAATACAGTGGGGAAACATAAACATAAGCAAATTTCAGTGAAAAATGTCAAATAACATATGCCCCTTTTTGGGGACCTAATGAATACATGAGGTTATTAGCAACACAGAGGTTCTTTTTTCTTGTTAGAGATAAATTTTGAGTTTATATCTCAGACCTGAGTATTGTATGAAGATTAATGTATGTAAATCAGTAATGAAGAATATTAAGTATATAAAAAAGGAAGAGGTTATAGATGGGTGGAGGGGGAGGGAGAGAAGGGAAAGAAAACAAAAAGGGGAATTAATATGGGTTATGTACACATAAAACTATGCTAGGAATGTAAATCATATGTACTAATAAGTGAAAATAAATGAAATATGTGTACATATTCTTATATAAAGTGGAAGTCTAAAAGTTGTTGAAATTTGTGTTTTCTGAAATTTAAATTTGGGATATTTGATTTTTACTGTGGAGTATATAACATAATCAGCAAATAATAATTCATTCTCAAAAATAATATATTTATTTTCATCTATAATTTAAAAATCAAACAAAATTAATTTAAATATGATACTCCAATCAGGATTGAATAAGTATTGGTCAAAGAGGAACTACGAATGCTTAGTACCTATTTAGTAAATAACCACAACCACAATTCTTATACAAAAGTTTCCAGAGACAGGAAAAGAAATGTTGCGTAACTGTCCTGCTTCAAGGTTGTATATGTTAGATTTCTGGACTTATGTGTAAACATAAGAATTATTTAATTCTTTATGCCTATTTTAAAAATATATTCTAATTTTTAAATGTTTTTTCATCATATTCTGTAGGGATTTAAAATTTAACATACCAATACTTGATGAAAAATACCTTTTCCATGTTGTGCCTAACATGTTTGATATTCAGACAGATAGTGAGTTTAAGCTTAATAGCCTAGGTTGTATAGTAATAATGATAAGCTTCTCTTCTGGAGGGTTAACAACCTAAATTTGCAGACCAAAATTAGAGAAAAAGGAGGGTCGCAAGGAAAGCCCACATTATGGCCCTAGCCTTCCAAGGTCAATTAAGACTCAGGACATATGAGAACTTGTACTGTAACGTCATATAACTCAGTAGTGTCCCAAATTTTCTGATCAAGGAGATTATGGGGCCAAAGAGGAAAGTGATCGATGATGTAGAGTGTGCCTAAGGAGAGTCAAATAGAGAGAAAACATTCTCTCAGGCTTTCACAGAGAGCACATTGGCCAAGCATTGGCCGTGACTCATCCACATGGCGGACACTAACAAAGGATCTACAATCTGAGGTACAGGATCTGAGGATAAATCCCTGAGGGGATTTCACTGACCTTATCAGACCCAAAAGCTACAACTCTTGTTGCATAGGTCCTGCTTTACCTTGGTCTTAACCATCCAGCAGAAAAGTATAAAAACGAAATATAAGAAGTAAAGCCATGGTGTTATGTTGAGCTGTAGGGGACTCAGGTCAACAATTTCTGACATTGCCAGTGGAGCGGAAGACCCAATACTATTATGGATTACTGGACTCTTTTAGAATATTTTGCTGAGGTAGCACACCTATAATATTCAAATAACGAAACTAAACAAAAAAAGGGGATACAGATGAATGTCCATTTTGTATCTGTGTATTCAAAATGGTTAGGATAGATATATAGTTACATTCTCTTAATGAATAGAGGGATTTGTTGTAATAGTGTTTCTAAATAGGATATCATGTCTGCATCTTGTACAGCAAATGACCACTGGGAAGAGAGTATGCAATGCGTTAATTATTGAAACTGTCCTATGAATGTGATTTGAAACCATCTCATTGCTCTTTGTTTCTCAATAAGATTATGGAAAAAGTATCCAGAGCTTTATTCATAATAAAATTCATATGTAGGCACTGAAATTTATAAAATATATAAAAATGTTTTATATATGAAATATTTATTGAAATTAAATAACCTTGGCTATCAGCTCTGGTCAAAATGGGAAATAAGGCTAGATTAAAAACAGTGAAAGAAAATGAGTTTTAAAATTTTTATCTTACATTTCTATCTTTAGAAGTTTTAGTGCATTATTGAAAATTAAAACAAAGAAGGAGAAAGAAGTAAGAGAGACCAAAGTTAATTTTTAGACTCATTAAAATTTTTACCCACATGCTGCACAGACCCTGCCCCTGGGGGTGCTGAGTCAGCCACTGAGTCTGGGCATGGTGGTGCATGCTTGTAATCCCAGTACTGGGGAGGCTGAAAACAGGAGAATCACTCACTATGAGTCTGAGCTGCGCAGTGAGACCCCGCACCAAATACATATAAAAAGAAAATATTCAAAGATTGTGGAATAAATAGGAAAAATTTTTATTGGTTTATGCATAATGCAGAAACAGCACACTGGGCATGGTGCATCCCTGTAATCCCTGAACTCAGAAGACTGAAGTAGTAGGATTGCTGCAAGTTCGAGACCAGCCTGGACTACATAGCGAGCTCAAGGTCAGCCTGAACTACATAGTGAGACCCTGTTTCAAAAAAATAGAAAAAAAGAAAGAGCACCACAAATTTAACAAATACAGTACAAATATGTCAACTAGCAACCTATTTCACAAATATGAACACAAAATTTTAAAGATTATGTGGAGAATGGAATTCAGTTGTTTCCAAAAAAGCAGTATATAAAGACAAGATTTGAACTTGGAAAGCATGGAATTTATAAGTACTACAAATACAAGAACATCTTTTAATAGGTGTTGAGAGTTACTTTACAATGGCTGTATAAAATCTAGCATTTCTGTCTCATCACCTATATAGTTGTATATGGTTTTAGCTTCCTGTGTTGAAATTGACAAGAGAAATGGGTTTTGGAAAAGTTGGTAACAAATATCTACCAGTTGAATTTAAGAACTGGATGCCATAGAGTTAAGGTCACCAGACAAATGAGTGCTTACGGGAAACAGACCAAAATGGGGAGCATACAACAGAACAGGGAAAGCAGATAACAGACACAATGCTAAAAGAGCAAGCGTCTATCTACAGAAGCCTAGGGCTTCTCAGGTTGGTGCTTATTCTCAGGAAGTGTCAGCCACATTTGTTGGCATTAGGAATACTAATTGTTTTTGCGAAATTATTTTAACATCAACATGTTCTAATATATGTACAACTTGAATAAACAAAATCAATGGAAAACTTTTAATTATAGATCCTATGCAAATGTCATGGACATTTTATCCAGCTTAGGGAATATCAGATCTTTTGTGACAAAATAGTCTCCAGAAGGGTTTATTGATTCAAATAATACACACACAACTGACTGTCGTCCTGCTTTGTGGATCATGGGGATTGAACTCAGACCCTTGAGCTTGCCAGGGAAGCGTTTATTCCACCGATCTATCTCCCTGGCCCCATGCCCACTGTTTCTTACAGGAGACTTAATTCTGTTTCTGTCTAAGATTTTAAGTTCCTCAGTAGGACTTGTAGCTTACAGTGTCCTTCAGCAACAACGTGGGTTACTTTCATCGCTGCACAACCTGCTGCTACCATACGTTTACCACTAGATGGCGATCAGACATTGGTAAGGTAAAGCACCCTTTGTATTTACTCGGAAGACATGAATTACTGTACTTGTTGAAAGAAATTCCCTGAAAATGATTAAGGAGGGCAGGGAATGGGCATTGGTGCTCTCTTT